AAGCGGGGCCGCCCTGCAGCGCGATCGGGGGCGCCGGCGGGGCCGGTGGCTCCTGCCTGAGGAAAAACCCTCCCTGTCACTTCCCCGGGTCGGGGAGTCCGCTTCTCATCTCCGCCGTGTGGGTTGTCGTCTCGGTGGGGGTTCCCCCCCACCTCCCCGCCAGCCTCCCCCGACATCTTGAAAGCCGTTTCGGTTGTTTCGAGCGGGGCGAGAAGCCGGGCCCCGGCCCGGTGCCGGTGGCTCGTATGGCGCCTGGTGGGGCTCCGGGCCCAGCGCCGTGGTGCCCTTCCTGCGAACTGAAGGGAGAAATCCCGAATAATTCCTGAATCTCTGAAAATGCTAAGAGCTGCTGGATTTTTGAAAATGCATTAACGGCTTTCTAACCGGGAGAACTCCGCCTGTGAAGCGTGAAATCCAGTATTTCTTTTCAGACCTGTTTTATCTTCGGTTGAATGTCTTTTGCGTTGCACTTGTGGACTTTCTGTAACAGATTTTTCGGTAGGGGGGTGGCCTTTCATATTTTAAGGTGTGTACACAAAGAGCTGACTACAGTGTTTCTGTTTTTCCTTACGTTTCTTGAACAATCTGTGAATATCTTTGTTCGGAAGGAGAATGTTGTCCTTCTGCAGCATCCACACCTGCAGAAGTGCTGCCAAGGGAATACTACATGCACATTGAACCCTCCCGACCTAGACTTCCCTACAGAAGGAGTAAAAGTCAGTTAAATAGGAACCACTCTGAGTTCAGCTTTAGTGTAGAGAAAGGTCTGATGGCTGAACTGACTGTAGTCTGACCAACAGTGGCAAATATGCTGCAATTGCCAGATAATTTCCTGCACTAAGGCTTCTTCCAGCACTAACACCGCCTGGGTTGAAGTGGCTGTGGTATAGCTGAGGAGCTTGGCTATAAAAATCTCATGGAAAGAACTGAGTTTCTTTATTTGAGGACAACAGTGCTCTATCTCAGTCTTAGGTTTAAGAAGGGTTGACTTACTTTTTCCTGCATTAAACCTTGTTTGTTTGGGTTTTTAACTTGTTTGTGTTTACATGTTTTCTCCTTTAGTGTCCTCACTCGCTTTCAGCCCTCCTTCCAAGGCCTGTCAAAGGGTGTAGCTATGTAGGTGGCTAAACCCCTGGTGTAAACTTTGTAGCAGAGATACTCTGCTTTGTGTAGCTCCTCTTCTCCAGGTTTGAGCTGGAGCTGTGATCCACATTTTCCAAAGCGTGATAATAGCCTATCTGGATATGCATAAGTATTGATAGTTTCTGGGAACTGGGTACCTAAGTACCTTTGAAATTATATATGTACCTGAGTTGCTTGCCGAAAGTAACACAGGAAGTATGGAGGAAAAAGGGAACTGGGTTTCAGGCCAACTACAGGACTGCCCTTTCACCACTCAAAAGAATAGGTGTCAGTAGTTAAAAAAATACTGGTCTGAAGAAATGTCTTTTGATGTTCCCATTTATCTTATTTGTAAGCTGGAGTGCCTGTGAAATGAATCCATTAGCTTGGAGCTTCTCTAAATGCTCAACATCCAGCTGATAATAATTCATGGTCCATTTTGGGAAAGCTCTAGATATTTTTTTGGGGGGGAGGGGAAGAGAATATAGTAGACTGCCTCATGTCTTCAAGGCATTTATTGCCATTTTTCTCTTTTTAAGAGAATACATTTGAATGTGTCTGCTTGAATACCAGACACTTGGTTTGCAGGTTTAAGGGTTTTTTTTTCTCTTTTTTTTTTTCCAGACAACCAATTCTTCTTGCTTTTGGCCAAAGAGAGAGAGAGACACACACACACAGAGCCCCAACAGATTTTGTGAATTGACCTTTAGAAGTGATTTTAAACTGCTGCTTTATAGATTAACATACGGGGCATTTTTATGTTAGTATTGTTTGCTGTTCTGTTGTTGATTGCAATTTCCTGTGGTATGTGATCTCTACCTGCCTTATAAAAGGCCACGAGGGCAATTTGGAGAGTTGAATTTATTTTAGTAAATCGTTAAGAACTGACTAAAGGCAGGAGGTCAGAGTTCTCTCTTAAATCCTGTTTTTGAGGGAAGCATGGAAGGGCTGCATTTTTCTATTCTCAGGGCAAAGGATCATTTTAATATTTGTTAGTACCATCCCTGCTGTCCTCTGGATCTTCAGAGTAAAAGTTCTGGGGAGCGATGACCAAAGGGTTATAACTGAGAGGCTGTAGTGAAAGAAGACAAAGAGACTCAAAAGAACCTGCCGTTACATCATGCCTTTTGGAAATCTTTGGTTTTGTTAAAGGATTTGGAAGTAGCTGTAACCACAGTCACTACTTTTCAAGATATTGGTGAAAATGTCTGGTATAAGGCTTACCCTTCCAGACCTTAAGATTAGCCCTTAATTAATTAGTAATGTTTATTGAATTCTGTAGGTTACCAGTTTCTGGAATATTAGGGAGCTGCTGAGAAGATGTGGCGAGCACAACTGTATCTTTCTTGTATGTTGAGGTACAGTTTCCAGACCTGCTGTTCACAGATGTGTTTTTAAACATGGCTCATACCTTTATCCATAATCCTTATTCACGAGCAGCCCAATGAATGTCAAAGGGATTACGCAGGCATAGACAGACGTGGAACAGAAGTCAGCAGTCTGGTGTGGAGGACAGAGATGGCATGTGAATGCATTTTTGAACAGAATTGGCCTGGGAGTGGGGAACTACAGCTCCTTCTGAGAGCCATCTGTGAGAAAACGATTCCAGCTCCCAACAAATTCTGAACTCACTGAGATTTGGCTTGAAGCTACCGTTTGCATCCCAGCAAAATACTGCAGATAAGAGGATCAGTTATATATTATTACTTAGAGAGAAGGAACATCTCTTGGGTCCCCTAAATTTCTGCTGGCATCCTGACTCTAATTTGGAAACTTAATACAGAGTGCATGCTATCCTTGAAACGTTGCAGATCCCTAGTTTAGAAGATAGCAGCTTCAGTCTCATAATTTGTATTTAATTGGGTTTTGAAGTAATGTGTTAGTTTCATCTTTATGGAAAAGAAGAAAAAAAAAAAGCTCTTTATAGGCAAATGAATATGCCTGTGCTAAAACTAATTTGTGTGACACTAGGGATCAGTTTCATGGCCATTGTGGGGAAAAACCCCCTCACTTTAGTGAGAAGAGATTGAAGTGCGCTCATATGTCTTATGTGGAAGGGGAGACTACACAAAATTTACTGGAAATCGGGGTTTATAAATGCTGAAGGTCAGTCCCCTTTTAATTTTTGCTCTTGCACACCCAGTATGGAAGTCATGCAACTCAAATGTGAGGAGCAATATGATTCGGATACCATGTTAAAATACAGAAATTGAAGTCTCATACTTTTATATATTGGATCTCTCGTTCATACCAGCCTTGGTGTCTTTCCACTCCTCTTGCTTTATTTTTCCGGTCTGAATGGACAGTGTTTGCCTGTTTACCAGGTGAAGCAGTGCTTAGTACTAAATTGTTAGCCAAGAAGAAAATACTGAGAGCTATTTTCACATGTCCTTTTCAAGCTCACTGCCAAGCACACTGGTGTCCTCTGTTTTATTTTAGCTGTGTTAATACCATTGTATTGTATATGCTGACCAGTTTGGGGTGTTTGATGTAGAAATCAAATTCCACATGTTGATCTGGGGTAAACTTAAAATGGGGGGCAGAACAGATGTTGAGAAGTTTCTGTTTGTGATGTAGTGATCTTTAGGTTGCAGTTAACATTGAGTGTATTAAATAAGATAACCTCTGATAAAATACCGTTAATAACCTATGATAATACTGTTAATCTTTTATCTGTCCGTAATTTCCCTGTTCTTCCTAGATGCGTAGTCACTTTTTCAGACCAGTGAGGCTTATTGTTGTACCTAGAATAATTAATAATAAAGGATTGTGCTGAGATACGGTGATGGGGGAGAGGAGGGAGATAATGTAGTTTATGGTACTTAGAAAATGAGGCTGCAGTGAAATGGGTCAAGCTTTGTTTTGAGCGTTTTATGTGAAGTGAATGCAGGTATTTGATTTAGGATTTTAACTGTTACATTAAGTGCATGCAACTTTGAAGACTAATGCCTAATTTAGGAGCCAGGCTAGAGTTAGTCCAAAGAAAAATCCCCATAATACTGAGGACCTGATGGTCATGCTGTTTGCACCAACTGTTGTGTTCTTCAGAGCTGCTCTTACTGTGCTGTACTACTTCTACAGATTTAACTAGTGACATCTCCATTCTTTCCCAGGACTTGCAGTTTTTTATCTATAGTTGCATCAGTTTCCAGAATACATTTATATTTGTGTTTAGGGTCAGCATAGAAGTCTTCAACCATCCCAAGACACGAGTTGCTCTTTCTTACTGGTATTATACATTTCTAGGCCGCTGTAACTCAGCATGTATGCAAATTTATTGCAAAAGAGGTCACAAATGTGCTTCTCTGCTATGAGTGTCCAGAAAAGGGCTTAAGCTCAGGAGTGAGGATTTGTGGGGTTGGTCCTTGGTGCGTTCCTTCCCTATATATCCTTCAGACACTTCAGAAAACGTCTGGAAGCCAGTGGGGCTGAAGCGGAGCTCTTAGGTGGAGACTCGCTAGAACTTTTGTGTCTACTTGGATTGCTTCTGCAGGTTCAGCTGTAGGGCTCACTACCTGAGCAGTTGCAGTTGCCCTAGAAGCTACAGTTGCTGGTGCTTATTGTAGACCTATGTCAAGAATTTAACAGGGATTTGTGGTTACCTTTCATTCATATGTGTAAGTACAACGACTGTTAAAATTGCAGGTAGCTTTGGCAGGGGGAGTGTGGAGAATCATGTACCTCTTGTTTGAGAGAAATGTTTGATCCCTTATTTTGCTCTGAAACATGTCTGCCCTTAATTTCAGCAGCGTGTCAGCATTTCCTGGACTCCTTAATATCATCATCCCTGTGAAATGAATGCCATTCCAGATACACCTACGGCTTAATGTTTCAGAACAGCATTTCTGCTTATGAATCATGGTTGCTATAGTTTAACAATCGGAAACAAAAAACCCTGTGAAACTTCTTATGACCTTCAAGTATGAATTTCAGGGGAAAAAATGTTTCTGGAATATAAAAGTACTTGAATTATCCAGTCTGATTTCCTTCCTTAAAGTTCTGTCAAACTATTCTTTGTGTTCATGGAGAAACATTAAAAATAAAATGGCTTTGGTCTTCAGTGTTAAAAAAGCTTTTTATTGGGCTGTGTAGCTGTAAAGAACTTCTCTTAAGAGAAAATTGATGGCATTTACATGACACAACTTGAATGTCTAATCTTAATTCAGTGATGTGAAAAGCATGTTAATAGCTAGGCTGCAGTCTTCCGCAATACTGCTGGAACCCCAAAAGAAAATAGCTTGGTAGGGTTTGTTGGAACTAATATCTGTCTTGCACCATGGTTATAAATGCTCCTAAGCATATGTTATGCCTCTATAAAACCTTGTTGATTGTAACGAGTGTCCACTTTGATAAATCTGTAAATGGAGTAATAAGCTAAAACGTGTAGATCAGACTAGCTGTGTCTTCATGCACGTGGTTGTTGTTGCCTTAAAGGGAATGTAGAATCAGCTTTAGGGGGAAAATGTTGCAAAAGCCATTGTTTAATTACTTCCAGTAAAACTCACTTTTGCAAGGCTTCTTTCAAAACCATATGTAAGATTTTTGTGTTGATGGACAAAACTATGTATTTTTTTTGTACTCCCAAGCATGTTTAATAGAGGTGTCAATTTAAAATCTTGCTGACTATGGTATTGAAGCCAGCCTGTGTGTTGTAAATGAAATCCATCTTGTAACAAAATGCTAGTTTGTGGAATTTCTGAATAAAATGTTAGCTGTTTCAAGGCATGATTGACTGCGCATTTCACCTTGATTAACTTGCAGGAATGCACAGAAGGCAGCAGGCAGGGTAATAGGCAGTATTTTGCAATACATGCTGTTTCCTTAATCTCAGTGTAAAGGATTATTTTATTCATTTGCATTCTGATTATGGAATCCCGAATCATGCTTACTGCCTGCATCTGAAATAAAGGAACTGACATTGCTATCAAGCTTATGCAACTATCTATGGAAGCACGCAACATGTAGTTCTCAGTAAATTCTTGAATATCAGTATTATCTTTTAACACAATTTCTCTTTTATGTGGCATGACTATAAAGCTGTTATGGTACTTCAAGCTATTTTTTATGAGTACTGAAACACTTTATTTTCTTCACCATTTGACTGTGAGACTAAGGAAAAGTAGTGGTGGAATGCTGGGTGGAAACTAACCTCCAGCAGCATGCAAACTGGATAGAGTTCTGTCTCCTCTCCTCTCCCCTTTTCTTGTATCATTTTGCTGTTGAGAGAAATTGCTGGGATGAAATTAAGATGATATCTGCTGTTGGTCTTCTCTTCAGAAGTTAGGGTGAGCCACTCAATGCCTCATGTGATGCTGCTTTCACTGGCAATTGTATCCATGGTGCATTTATAGATGGGGTGTTGGGGGAAATACCAGTTTGAGGACTGCTGGTTTAACTCCCTGATAGCTACTTGATAGAAGCATCACCATACACAAATTGGCTGTTTGGAAATGTTGAAATTCAATATCTGAAATAAGATAACCTCATCCTCTCAACAATGAGGAAAGGATATGCCTGATGAGAGTACGACCATAGTATTTTACATGGTTGTTTTGATATGCACAAATAATGTGGCCCTTGAAAAGGCAGGTCCTGGCTGCTTGCTCCTGCCATCCTGTAATGGCACAAGAGGGATCTGGACAGGCTGGATCGATGGGCTGAGGCCAATTGTATGTAATTCAACAAGGCTCAGTGCCAGGTCCTGAACTTGGGTCACAACAACCCCATGCAGTGCTACAGGCTTGGGGAAGAGTGGCTGGAAAGCTGCCTGGTGGAAAAGGACCTGAGGGTGTTGGTTGACAGCCGGCTGAATATGAGCCAGCAGTGTGCCCAGGTGGCCAAGAAGGCCAACGGCATCCTGGCTTGTATCAGAAATGGTGTGGCCAGCAGGACTAGGGAAGGGATTGTTCCCCTGCACTCAGCACTGGTGAGGCTGCACCTCGAGTACTGTGTTCAGTTTTGGGCCCCTCACTACAGGAAAGACATGGAGGTGCTGGAGCGTGTCCAGAGAAGGGCAACGAAGCTGGTGAAGGGTCTGGAGCACAAGTCTTACGAGGAGCGGCTGAGGGAACTGGGGTTGTTTAGTCTGGAGAAAAGGAGGCTGAGGGGAGACCTCATTGCCCTCTACAACTACCTGAAAGGAGGTTGGAGTTGGTCTCTTCTCACAAATAACAAGCAATAGAACAATAGTAAATGGCCTCAAGTTGTGCCAGAGGAGGTTTAGATGGGATATTGGGAAAGATTTCTTCACTTGGAGCAGGCTGCCCAGGGAAGTTGTTGAGTCACCATCCCTGGAGGTATTTAAAAGACGTGTAGATGTGGTGCTTAGGGACATGGTTTAGTGGTGGACTTGGCAGTGCTAGGTTAATGGTTGGACTTGATCTTAAAGGTATTTTCCAACCTAAATGATTGTATGATTCAAAGCTCAGTTTTCATCTGGCTCAATTCCCTGATCTGTCTTACTGTAAAAACAATTTTCTCAACATTAAGGAGAGAATAGGGAGCAAGCGGCTAGGGGCAGAGGGGGAGTTCAGACTTTTTTTTTGTGGCTGACTGCGTGGTTGTAGCATAGTTGTGTTAAAACTTCAGCTGAGATGAGATCTATGTTAGAATACATGGGTATAAACTCTGTAATTGTATAGTAAGGATTAGGGAAGGTAAACCCAGAACATTGTGTTTTGAGTTGTATCCTTTCTGAAATTAATGCCCAAAGCTTTAAATGTTGTGTATTGGACTACTATTTAAAAGTCAACAATACACTTCTGAACTGTTATTTTTAAAAATGTCTTTTATGATCCCAGATGTCTACTACTTCATACCTTCTGTCAGGGCTTTCATCTGCCAGTCCTTGAGTCTGGAGTTGGTATGGTACAGCAGTACAGATTAAAGTCAGATGTTCTTTCATCTTTAAAACTTAACCTCCTTGTTATGGTGGAAGACTTCCACAGAAACAGGAGGGAAGTTGCTTAGAAGATTCTGGACAATTTTATATCTCTGAAAAGAGAGCTTGCTCACAAAAATGTGAGATGATGTGCCTATGCTAAGTTACTTGTTTGTAGTAATGGGGGAGAAAAGATTGCTTCCTCTTGCATAATGGGCTCTTTTATTTCTTGATTTATTTTGTTGTTTTTTTTTTTATGAGAATCTATTTATGAACTTCATAGTTCAATCCTCAGAGTCTTCTGCAACTAACTCTGATAGCCAAGTAAATAGTATTATCTCCTTTGAAGAGATCTTTGTGTCCCACAATACCAGAATGTGATAAGAGAAGGACACAAAGTTTTCTGTGATGTTTTAGAAGAATCAATTATGTTGGTTAAACAGTTTGTTAGTATGATATAATGTAGCTTTTTAGAAGGTGTCCACCTTGCTGTGCCATTCTTTCAAGAGTGAATCCTGATGTGCCTGTCTCTGTTCATGCATGCATTTAACGTGTTGCCCAAAATAAAGGATGCTTCAGAATAAACTATGCAGAACTGAAATACTTCCTTATTTTATTTCTTAAAATGTGTTGGAAGACAGGTGATAATACTGATTTGTCTGATTTTTTTGTTGTTGTTGTTTTTGTTTTGTTTGCTGGCTTCATGAAGTGAGACACATACATTGTTTTAGAGTTTATGCTTCTGCCTGTGAATTTAAGGCAGCACTGCATGGATTGGATTAAGGTTTTGTTATTGCTGGTGTTTGAGTGTAGAAACAATTCGAAGTCTTTGAAATTAACAACACAACCAAACTCAACCTTCATCCTGGACACTTTGTTTCTTCGTTTTAAACAAACTATACTCTTGTGTCAGGTAAGGGTATGGGTAGTACCTAAGATAACAAGTGTGAAACTAGAATGGTGGAAGTTCAGATGTTTTACCATCTTCCTCAGAAAGGCCTGCTTGCGGTACTGTTGGTTCACCTGTGCTTATCTCCCTTTTCTTTCTAGAATATGGTATCAAGTTTTCGTGTTTCTGAACTACAAGTGTTGTTGGGGTTTGCTGGACGTAATAAAAGCGGGCGGAAACATGACCTCCTGATGAGGGCACTGCACTTACTGAAGAGCGGCTGCAGCCCAGCAGTTCAGATAAAAATCAGAGAACTCTATAGGCGTCGGTACCCAAGGACGATTGAAGGACTCTCGGATTTATCGGCTATAAAACCTGCAGTTTTCAATTTAGACAGTAGTTCCTCTCCTGTTGAGCCTGACCTGGCTGTTGCTGGCATTCACCCGCTCCCTTCTACATCGGTCACACCTCAGTCTCCTTCCTCGCCTGTCAGTTCTGTGCTCCTCCAAGACACTAAGCCCCACTTTGAGATGCAGCAGCCATCCCCTCCGATTCCACCTGTTCATCCCGATGTTCAACTGAAAAGCCTACCTTTTTACGATGTGCTTGATGTGCTCATAAAACCTACAAGTCTAGGTAAGTATTTAATAGCTCTGCAGGTTGCTTAATTCATGACATAGGCATTGCTTATGACAGTACTACGTCCAGACTTAAATGGCTTTTTGCAGCTGGGGAAAAGTGGAAACTCCCTTACCTTCTCATTTCTACCCTTGCCCTGTCTTCACCACTTGTTCCCAGAAGTGCCGAGCCATGCTTCAGAAAATAGTGTTCTCTTTTGTAAATGTTATATGATTAAAGATCTTTGTCTTTTGAATATTAAATAATAGAGTAGAATAGTTCAGTTGTAAGGTACCTGCGATGATCATCTAACTGCCTGACTACTTCAGGGCTGACCAAAAGTTAGAGTAATAGTTAAGGGCATTGTCCAAGTACCTCTTAAACACTGACAGGCTTGGGGTGTTGACTGCTTCTCTAGGAAGCCTGTTCCAGTGTTTGACCATCCTCTCAGTAAATAAATGTTTCCTAATGTCTAGTCTGAACATCCGCTTTTGGCTGAAAGATTTGGACCTGAAATCTCTGCCTGGTGCAAGTGAGAAACACATCTGTCAGGGCCAGCAGGAAAAGGATTTCAGGGTCAGTAATTAGTAAGTTGCAACAACGTAAAGAGAACAAGTTCACTGGTTTGTTAGTTTAAGCCTACCTCACCACAACAATTCTGTGGGTTCTGACATCTGGCACTGAAATAGATACTTTGTGCAGCAAAGTTCAGTGTTTTACTCGGATTGGTGAAGGTTTCTCAGTTTACCGGTTGTTGCCACAGTGTATGTTAAAATGTAGATTGGACCTTTGTCTTCCGAATAAGGAAAGTTAGTGCAAATCTCAGTTTAGCTTCCTCAAACACCTCTCTCTTAAACATAGTAAATTATTTGGAAATACGTTGTTTTCTGTCTTGAAATTCAACCTGTCTTGCCTTACATGGTAGAAGAAGTTCCCTTACTATTTAGTAATATTGTTTAGAAAAACTTAAGCATTTTGCAAGCTGTTTGCATTCTCTTAAACATTTTAGTTTCTTAACTGAGAATAGAGTTGTTTAGGCTGTGACTTGTACCTCAGTGAGGCATAGACTGATCATTGGTCATCTTCCAGTACCTAAAGCAGCAAGCATTACTAACAAGCATTATTTACAATGCCCGTTGTCACTTCTGTTTGTGTGTCATGACGCCCTGTTAGAGGAGAGTTTTATGTTGAACCTGTGTATTGATACAATAGCAGCTTTGGTGTTGGACAGCTCTATGGCTCGTGCTGCCGTTACCTTTACAGAGATAATCTGTCAGTGCCACGATGTCCTGCCTAACCCCTGCTTATGTTCAGGGTGCGCAGTACTCGAATATCTTAACTAGCTTCCTGAATTATTCTGTTATGGGACAACTGTTGGCTCATAGTTAACCAGACTGGTTAGCCAGCCACTCCATAGTCACTCTGTCCCATATCGTGCAGCGTGTGCTCGTGTCATGGTTTAAGCCCAGCTGGCAGCAAAGCACCATGAAGCCACTCACTCGTTTCTCCCCCCCACGGCCCCGGTGGGATGAGGAGAAAATATAACAAAAAGCTTGTGGTTCAGACGAAGACAGGGAGGGATCACTCACCAGTTATGGTCATGGGCAAAAGACAGACTCAACTTGGGGGAGGGGGAAACAAAATCAATTTAACTTACTACCAATCAAATCAAAACAGGGTAATGGGAAGTAAAACCAAATCTTAAAACGCCTTCCCCCATCCCTCTCTCCTTCCCGGCTCAAGTCCACTCCCGGTTTTCTCTACTTCACAGGGAATGGGGGCTGCGGTCAATTCATTACAAGTTGTTGGATTCCACTCCCCTCTCCACTGCTGGTTCCCCTTCTTAAATACATTCTCGCAGAGGTGCTGTCACCATCACTGGTGGGCTTAGCCTCGGCCAGAGGCAGGTCTGACTTGGATCCAGGGAAGCTTCTAGCAGCTTCTCACAGGAGTCATCCCTGTAGCCCCTCCTGCGCTACCAAAACCCTGCTACACAAACCCAAAACAGCTAGGCATTATATTTCTGCTATGCAGTTACCTTTTGTTTTCTGGTGAATGATATCTAGAGGTGGCGGTGATATGCTAGAAAATTCCCTAACAGTTGTTTTCATCAACTTTTGAAATGATCCTTTTTTTCTGAAAGCAGAATGCTTCCTTAGGGGTGTCACCATGTTATAGTTAGAGCTGCATGTAAATTCCTCTTTCTCTTGAAGACTGTAGGCTCTTTGCATGTTGCCCAGTTTTCATAGGTGTGAGGATTATCTAGTCCTGTAACGTTTGGGTCCTCCTAGGACACGGATGAGGGGGACAAGGTTAATTTAACTGAGTACTTGCTTGCCTTGAAACTCTTTTCAGAGCACAGTACCTGAAGGTGTCAGCAGCCAGAGCTACAACTCAGATCTGTGTGAGGAGGAGTGGGGAAATAAGATGTGAGGAATGGCTTGATATGCAAATAACGGGCCCTTCTGATGTTAGAAGGATATGAACACTGGCTGAAAATCACTCTTAACATGGATTAATGAGCAAATTTGGAAATAAGCCTTCCTTTATTTAATATCTTTAGATCGATATGGATAGCTTATAGTCCCAGTTAGTAGATGTGGGTGATTGGGGCATGGAACAAACGGTTTTGTGTGTTTGAGAAATGAAGGATTTGGAAACCAAATAGACAGCTAAGTCAGAGAGCTAGGAGTATAGCCCGCTTCACTGTGACCCTTTAAAAGGGATGAGTGTAGATGTTCTTTTGCACTAATATGAGAACACAAGAGCAGGTGTAGGTGTGGGGTTTAGTTTTAACCCACACTCAATTCACTAACAAAATATGTCCATGATCTTTTTTTTATATGTGCTCAAGTATTATTTTAAAATATAAAATGCTGTCTATGGTGTGTGTATGCACATATGTGTACAATGTAGCTGTTCTGAATTGTTCGAGGAACTTGGTATGTGTGTTTGTTCCACCTGGGTTCTATTCCATTTTTGTGTCCTTCTTGTGTGCGTTTTTGGGGCATAGGGATCATCTTCTCTGAATGTCACGGTGTACAAGACAGTCGAGCTCTTCCAAATTTGCCTGGTTTAATTGTGCTATTTTTGCAGTTGTCCTCCTTGCTGGTTACTTTAAATTGTTGGACAAGTCCAATCTACCTTTATTTCGGGTCAAGATTTCTAACTTCTCAAGTCGAAAGGAAGTAGAAAAGTAACATGTGCATACTGTGAACCCTTACAGCTTCCCATCACTGACAGACAAGTAGGATTCTGACATGAAAGTTACATTTATTTTTTTGTCAAATGCTACTGAGGGGTAATTCCCAGACATGAGGTCTATCTGGCTTCTCTGGCATTAGGGATTGTGCTCCTTCCCTTCCTCCCCAAAGGCTTAGTTACCTTTAGCTGTTTCTGAGTTGAGTAATTTTCCAGCTGTCCATTAATAACTTCTCGTGCACGTTCTCTTCTTGTAGTACGTTAAAATAATTGTAAACATCTTCTCTGCTCACTCTTTTTGTCAGATATCCAGTGTTATATTTTTGTTGTGTGTTTGTTTGAACCTTTCTCCCTTGGGAGAAAGGATTATAATGTGGCTTGCCAAGCTGCTTCCGTACTGAAGAGTAATGTGATATTAAGCCATCTGAATATAGTTGAATGAATGATTTGTTCCATTGCTTTCCTGTTGACAGTTACAGGCAGTTCAACCACAATTTGATAATATTAAGTGACTTATGCCTTGTTCCAGGAAAAACTCAATTGCAGATCCTGTTTTAATCAATGACTTTTATCACCATGGTTAAACCTCTTTTGTGTCTCTCTTTTTTTTCTAGTACAGAGCAGTATTCAGAGGTTCCAAGAGAAGTTTTTTATCTTTGCCTTAACACCTCAGCAGGTCAGAGAAATCTGTATTTCCAGGTAAGAAGTAAGAGTGTGGCATAGCGTAGGTAAACTTTTTCAAAATTTCAGGAGAAAGTGTGGCATTTTTGTTCATTTTTTGCATTGCACAAGCTTGCAGATGCAGAGTGATAATTGTCACCAAAGTTATGCTGAGTTTATCTGTTCTGTTTTCTTCAGGAACTACTGTGCACAGAATCTATGTGCAGTTAGGGTAAATCCTGTGCCACTAAAGAGTTAATTACTCGGTTCCAAATAATTGTGACTATTTAGAGAGGTGGTAAGCTTTTTTTCCCTGCATGTTTCCTGGCTGCAGGAATGGAAGGCTGCTTTTATCTTTTGTCCCAGGGTTCATCTTGTTGCAAGACCTATGGTGTAAGCCAAGAGCATTAATAGGGTTTTTTCCTCCCTGACAACATCATGCTTTATTGTTACTATAAACTCTTGACAGAGGATGCTGATCCTAAAGTCCTGCTTAACTGGCAGTAGCTAAACAGAGGTGTCGCTCCTAAGATTTGTTCATAGCTCAATACAAGAAAAATAAGAGCAAAGTGTAGCATGTTTGGGCAAGCGTGCCAGTTCTTTCTGCATATGACTGGAATATGAGATCTGCTGTCTAAACGGGTACTTCTCTTTTTCTTTCTCTTTGTCACAGGGACTTCTTGCCAGGGGGCAGGAGAGATTACACAGTCCAAGTTCAGCTGAGGTACCTTTTTCATAGTGTTCTCTTATAACTTCTTAATTGGCTAATGTAACGTAAGTCTAGGTGTTTGTGGGGACATACGAATGTGGTGACACTTGAAAATGTTGCTTTCTTTTTTTGGGGATACAGGTTATGCCTAGCAGAGACAAGCTGCCCTCAAGAAGATAATTACCCTAATAGTCTGTGTATTAAAGTAAATGGGAAGCTGTTTCCGTTGCCGGTAAGCTTGTGTGTACGTATTTGTGGCTTCATTGTGTCTTGTGGTGTGTGTGGTTTTCTTTCTGTAATGTAGCTTGCTAAAACAATCAAGCTGTTTATTGTTATCACTCAAATTTCTCTAGTTGCTAATGTTAGGCATACGGTTTGTACGCTTGCTGTGTGAGATAGCCATTACTATTAATCATGTTACAGCCACTGCATGGATTAATTGTGTTTTAGCCACCTATAGCAAACCCCATCTGTTGCAGTTAACACAACAAAATATGTCAAAACCATACCATTGTCTGCAGAGGGAATCCTTCTCATAGGTCTTCAAACTGAGTTTATTTGACTTGATTGGTAGTAGCCCTTGCTGTTTGGGCTATCTGTATTTATGATTGGCTTGAGTTCCCTCTTGTTATGAGGGAATGGTATCGCCTTCTTGTGTACAACTTTGTATGCTGCTCTGCTTCTGTCTGGTTAGAGCAGAATTCATTGCGGGGATGAAGAACGGACACACTTTAGGGTTCCTAGCGTTTGCCGATACTGGAATAGAACGGTGTTGGCAGTCATACGCTTTACTGGTGTTTGGTGTTGCAAAAGGTAGTATGTAGGCAAGGTCACCTCAAGGCTTGAATATATACAAAAAGGGAAAAGCACTCTCATTCTTGAAAAATCTCTGGAATGGGTATCTCTGTGCAGTAGAACAGAGAAACTCTTACACAACCCATTCTGAAATAGTTCTGGAAGCTATAGAAGATGGAAAAAGTAGTAGTACAGAGGTTTTTTTCAGTAGTGGGTTTGGAAAAATGCTGTGTGGAGGGAGGAGGTGTGAAACCTCTCTTTCAGAATGTTTGTCGCCTTCTTGGTGTCAGATGTGTTGTCCTGTACTCTCCTTCCTGCCATATGTGACCATGGCTGCTTTTTTTGCCTCTACTCAGCTTAAATGAGACTCTCTAGCTTCTTTTCCCCCTACTTCTTTAAATGTTGCATCGCTGTTCTCTCTGTCTTCAGTGTGTAAGAGGATTTCTTTCATATGTTTTCTCGTCATTATTTTCTGCAAATGTTATGTCTCTGTGCTAAATTTGAGGATTTTCTTGTTTCTTCTGCAGATTGTCTTCCTTTCTTTAAGCAACCCACCAAAAAGAATTGGGTCTGATGTTATCCTGTGGACATCAATGTCTGCTGATACTCAGTCTTGCTAATATAGTTTGCACCCTGCTGTGCTGTCTTATGCTATCCATTTTGCGCATATGGTGTCACAGTCGTAACAAAAGTTGTTTGTAGTCTTGGATTATTGCTTTGCTTTAGATCTAAGTCCTGTAGGTTCTTCCTGCACATCATAAGGTGATTCTTTAATCTGTTCAGCAGAAACTTTAGGTGAGAAAGTGAATAAATGACTATTGTCTTGGCAAATTCCTTTCCTCTCTTCCTTCAGTATGAGCTGAATGACAAATATAGTCTCAGACTGCTCCTGTAAGTGTTTTTTGTTTATCTGGTCACTGACTGCAACCCCCTGGTGGTTCCTTTCTCTTACAGGAAATGTAAGATAACTCCTTTGCCTCAAAGACCACTATTGTCCAACTCGGTAGTGTTAGTGTTAGGTAATTAATCAGTGATGCCAGCCTCTATTGCCAACTTGTATAACTCTTAAGTGAGTACTGTTCTTTCCTTGGTATAGCAGTTCATGCCTCTGCAGATGTCTGTAAATCATACTTGGTCATCTCCTTGGCTGCAATCCTTACCAGAAGCTTCACAGAAATGCTGCCAGTGTGCCAGTGCTGCTTCAGGTTGTGCCAACTTACATTAACACAGTGTTTTCTTGTATTCCTACAACTATCTGTGTCCTCCTCTTAGTGTTGGTTCTGACTTAAAAGGAGTAAATGTAGAGCCTTGTGTGCTGGTGTCTTGGCAAGTAAGAAGTATCTTATACATAATGCACTAGAGCAGGTGGTTCTCCTGTTAGCTTCTCTTGTAGGCAAGACAAAATGTGGAAGTCCAAAAAGGTAATTTGCTCTTCTTCTCAAGGGACCTCCATAGACCACTGCAGGTCTCTTTTGAAGGACAAAATCAAATACATCAGGGCAGGCTGGAAACAGCCAGATAGAAGAGCAATCACACTTTCTGTCGATAAATTGTTATGGCTCTCGCAGATTCCACCAACTTTGACTAATATGGTTCTTGCAAGTAGCATGGAAGACTTAAAGACTGAAATAATGTTGGCACTTGCTAGCCACTAGAACTGGCAGCCTAACTAAACAGCGCTAGACCATGCTGGTTGTGATGGGCAAGCAGAGTGCTCTTTACTTAACTCCTGGAAGGCTACAAAGGGAGGGCTTTAAACTGTTCTAGGAGTACAAGGGTGGCTGTGATCTCAAGGTCATTGCTCTGTGGAAGAAAACATTAAAAGCTTGACAGAAATGAAGCATGTCTGCAGAGTCTGTCTCTAAAAAAGAAAAAAAGTTAGGAAATGTAAGAGAACTTGCATCCTTGCTCTCTTGAAAGCAAGGCAGCTTAATTTTAGGTTGGAGACCAGCAGGATTATTGAGGCTGGTATAGTATGTGTGGAAGTACTCTCCTAAATATTGCAGGGATGGTGTGTTCATCCACGTAAGCTCATTATAAAGTCACCATAGTAGAGAAAGGCCTACTACAGCAAAGCAATTGGGATATATGCTCTATAAATGGCTGTAGCTGTTATGTCTGAGTAAGAAATGGCAAATCATTCATTCTTTTAAATGTGAAATTGCCAGCAGGCCCCATACATCTGCTGCTTCTATGTTCTGCAATAAAGCACACGTGCTAAGGTTCCTGATAGCTATTGGGTCACTCATCATCTGGGGTGAGAACCATTTTAGAGAGTGTTCTTCAGCAATTGCTGTCTGCCACTCCAGCCTGGCAGACCTGCCTGTAGAAGCTCCGAGTCCCCATTCTGTGACTGCAAGCAAGAGCCCTGTCTGAAATTAATAAAGGGCAGTGGTGAGGCACAGCCAGGGCTTGGTTGTCATGTGAAACCTATGGACTAGTAATAGAGCTGCTTTGGAAACCTAGAAAATGTGACAACTATGGAGTCCTCCTTGGATTAAAGGCAGTGATTATCCTATGGTATACTTGGCTAGTGAGCAGAAGACACTGGTTTTTCTGGTTTTTATTTTTCAGACTTAGTGTCTTTCGGAGTAACTCTTTTTCCAATCACTAGGCTGAGAATGTGTGTGTTTCTCTAGTAAAAAAAAAAAAAAAGGTGTGTGTGTTTTTCCAGTATATTGTTTCTGGGAGGGTTTCTTGTATAGAACAGTGTCTTGAACTAAATGAAATCTGGCAGTCGGTTCTGTGCAAGACATAGGGCTGCAATCTTTTATTGGCATCCTTCTGGTGCGGGATGAGTTTTTGAGATGAGTGGACTGCAGGCTGTCTGTGTGAGCTCAAAACGGAGATTTTCAGAGTTCCTGTTACAGACTGGCTTGCTTTCATAGTGACAGACGCAGGGTGATATGAATAAGCTCCTTCACGAAGCACAAGTATTTTCTGCTCACGATATGCTGGAGACTATGTGCTTGCCTTCAAGCAAAAGGGAATGAGGTGGCTCCTGATTTAATTCGCATACATCATATAGGAAATAAAACTACAGAGAAAAGCTGTCCAGGTTATGAAATTCTTCATAAAAGCTGAACAAACTACCTAGTTTATTTTGTTTCTGCAGACAACAGCAAAGCCTATTAGGTCTTAAATACAGCTTATATACTCCACATATAGCCCTTCTTCAGGGGCCTTGGCAGAGTACAGATGACAACCTGTCACTAATGGAGCTAGGTGTAGTTGATGCAAGGCAAAGCAGACACCAAGGAGATGTGGAGCTCTTGGAACAAGACTTCATTGTTTCTTAAATAGAATCAATGGAGTGTTTTCTGAGTGTGAAATGCTGAATTAACTCTTCATGACTTGCTGTGTTTGTCACTAAGGCTGTGTCCTTGTGATGTTCCACTCTCTTTCAGTGGGGTGGGGGGAAAAAAAGGACGAAGCATCAACACTACTTTTTATGCTTCCAGTGAACTTACCTGGACCAAAACCGCATTCTCTTCCACCTTTTCAGCACTTCTGTAAAACCACTTTAAAGAGGACTGTCATGGTTTAACCCCAGCTGGCAACTAAGCACCATGCAGCTGCACGCTCACTTCCCCCTGCTGTGGGATGGGGGAGAGAATTGAAAAAAAAGTAAAACTCGTGGGTTGAGATAAGAACAGTTTAATAGAACGGAACGGAAGAAACTAATAATAATAACAACAATAATAAAATGGCAATGATAATAATAAAGGGATTGGAATATACAAGTGATGCACAATGTAATTGCTCACCACCCACCAACCGACACCCAGTTAGTTCCCAAGCAGCGATTCCCCCCAGCCCCACTCCCCCCAGTTTATATGCTGGGCATGACGTCACATGGTATGGAATACCCCTTTGGCCAGTTTGGGTCAACTGCCCTGGCTGTGTCCCCTCCCAACTTCTTATGCCCCTCCAGCCTTCTTGCTGGCTGGGCATGAGAAGCTGAAAAATCCTTGACTTAGACTGAACACTGAAAACATCAGTGTGTTATCAACATTTTTCTCATACTGAACCCAAAAGATAGCACTGTACCAGCTACTAGGAAGAAAATTAACTCTGTCCCAGCTGAAACCAGGACAAAACCAAAAAATGCTTTAAAATTGTGGTTGACTTATGGTATTAGACTGTCAAAGACTGATATTTCTCACAGTAAGTGTTTAGTCTCCAGCCTAGAGAGCTCCTAGGTTTACCTGCTTCCCGTAGGTCCGTTGAAAACTAACAAGTTTGTTTCAGCAGGTTTCAGAGTGCAGCGGGGAGACTTGGTAACCCTTTCCTTGTCCTTTCTTCCCATAGGGATATGCTCCACCGCCAAAAAATGGAATTGAACAGAAGCGACCTGGGCGCCCCTTGAATATAACGTCTCTAGTTAGGTTGTCGTCAGCAGTGCCAAACCAGATTTCCATTTCCTGGGCTTCTGAAATTGGAAAGGTAAACTGTGTGTTCTGTAGGATGTGGAAAGCTGCCTAAATAACCTCATCTAGCATTCCTTCTCCTCTACTGCCTGATGTAGCTGGCAAGGCATACACCAGCAAGTGTTTAGTATTAGGTGGTCGAACTTCTTATCAGTGCCAGGAAACAAAGTTTGCTCTAGAAGTATGGTAGTTTACAGTAACATATATACGATTTGTGTAGAGATGGCAAAGGCCTCCTTATAGAATTCACATTAGAAAGCCTGCTGTTAGGGGTTGCCTGAAATGTGTATCAAAAATAATGAAATCTTTTTGTGGTGTAAATGGTACAAAACAGTTCAGACGTGACAAAATAACAAAAGGAAAACCTAACTTTCTTCCGTGTAGCCTGATGGTGTGAAGAGTGGAATTATGTAGCCATGTATTCTAAGGCACGTTTCTCAGTATCTGCTGTAACGGCCCATTGGAGAAGGCTTTTTAAACTGTCCAGATGTGCCAAGGCTGTGGGGGTGGAGACATGCATTTGCTTCTGAGGTTTTTGTATTTTCTAACTAAGTAATACTAAGTAGTTTTACAAAAACAATTTTTCTTCCACAGGAAGAACTGGTTAATGGATATTTTCTTCTCTATTCTTTTGAGATTCCTTTTTTACATGAAAATGGCCTCGCTATGAGTTGATTTAAAATTGTACTTGCAAATAAACCAAAACAGGGTGGAACTTCCAGCTCAGAAAGCTCATAGATGGCAGGTTGCTGGGAAGGGTTTACTGGGGAGGTGTCAGGCTGCTGGTGCCAGCTGTTTCTGGGCTTGATGGATCTCAAACACGCTTGGTCGGACCATACTTGTGTGTTGTGTGTGTCTTTGTAACGCAGGATACCTGAGCAGTGTGTGTTTTCTTACAAATGAAGAGTAGTCTGGAAGTTTGGGTGACTTGAGGGAGAAGTGACTCAATGTGAGGAAGGATGGAGAGCTGGGGAAGAAATGAAAATTGAAGCCTCTTCATAATGCAATTCTAAAAAACTTCATGGAAACCTGCAGTGGGGGAAAGGCATGCTAGACTTCAGGTGGCAGGAGATAAAGGGGTGGTGACTGAAATGTGAAACCTGTTGTTTTCTAGTGCCTGCAGTCATTAATCATAGTTGAAAAGGAATTAGCCTTTAAAATGGCCCTGTGGCTGTTTAGAAATTCCCCTATGGATTTACTAAGGAAAAGAAAGGGAGAGTGTGAGGAATTTCTGAATTCTTCCTAGATTTAAATAGCTGTTGCAGCATCCCTTTCAGCTGTTGGTAAGTCAAGAACTACTTATTCCTCTATTTGTGACCAGTTGTGGAAATCCTTGTGGATTCAATTATCAAAGTAGCTTACCCCTTGCTTTTTTCTTCAAAATCAAAAGCTGTGGACCAGAGACACCATGTGTTTTAGAGTGATGCTCCAGTATAAACTTTTATACACTAATTAAAATTTTAAAAAGAAATTAGAGAGAAAGCTAATGTTCACAAAATAAATGAAGGGCAGTGCTGACAGCAAAGTTTTTTTGTTTTTGTGGTTTTTGTTTTTGTTTTTCCCTAAAACAGAGGTGAAGGGGAAGATCTAAGCCATGCTTCCCAATTATAAAGCACAAGAATATTGAAATGACTGCAGTGTTGTGTGTGGTCTTGGCCTCTCCCACTGACCCTTGCTTTCTTCCTCCCCTGTATCTGCCAAAACATATTCTCATGGAAGCAGATGAATTGGAGGTTGTCCCAGCATTCCCCCTTGCCCCGAGAGGTAAAGTGAGTTCTTTGGTTTAATGTTGGTGCGCTGCTCTAAGTATCAGAACTCGCACAGCAGCTGTCGCTATTCATCCTCTAAATGAGACCCTTGGGGACAGTGTGGAGTGTCAGCGGGCGCACGTGCTAAGGGCTTATTGGCATCTACTTGACTGATAGTGGAGAGCATCTGAGCAAAGGAGGCTTTAATCCCACAGAGGTGGTCAGACTTGAGCCTGTAGAATTCGTTCTGAATAAGTAGTGCAATGCACGGTCATTCTTTAAGGAAAGAAAAAAAATCTGTTTTTCTTAGCAGTTTCCCATGCATTTAGGTAACTTTATTTGCTCATCTAGGTAAGAGCTGGTTTTCCTATAGGTGGTAAAGGAGGAGCAGAGCAGTAGGTGTTGTTTAAATTCTTGTGCAGTACCCAGACAGTATAGGAGCCATAGGAAGGTGGCTGGCAGGGAGTGGAAGTGAGAGATTGCAGGTTGTGTTTGTTACACAGATGAAACCATTATTATTCTGCAGTAGCGGGACTTGCAGAATTTTTTCTTCATTAGTGACTTTGAATAGAGAGTTAATGCTGAACAGAAGAAGCTGGCAAGTCGTGTGAATTAGGGAAGAGTAGTAAATGCTAGGGAATGTGGCCAGCCTCAGAGGAGTGGGTATGGTGTAATGAGGTTTGGCTTGAAAGTGCAGAGCAAGCTAAAGAAAAGGTACAAGGAAATTGGTGCAGCTGTGTGCCATGTGAAGGTGTTGCGTTTGCACCTGAAAGACTGTTCATCTCTTCTTTTGTCATGTGATCATCTCCGAGCTTCCCACTAACAGATTGACACTGAAAAAAGGGAAGGATTTAATAGACAAACATGAGAAATTCTTAAAGACTGCCTGTATGAGAAGGTGTGTTACCAGTGTAAATCATCTTTCCCAGTGAAGAGCCCAGATTGTATCTCGGTTGTGGAGTTATTCTTCTTAGTTAAGCCACAACTGGAGTAGGACAACTGGACTTGATTGGCAGGAGAATTCTGGTAGAGTATTGGGCTCTTTCACAGTAATGAAGTTATCTGTCAATGCTTTTCATAACTATTAAGCCAAAACTTGGCATGTTTTTGTTTTTACTGTATGCTACAGCTAGTGTAAATCGTAATTGGTGGTAATAGTGGAAGTACTGTATGAAATCAATATTTACTTTTTAATCACTCTTTTTGTAGAATTACTCCATGTCTGTGTATCTTGTTCGTCAGCTCACTTCAGCTATGCTTTTGCAGAGGTTAAAAATGAAAGGTATCAGAAACCCCGATCACTCCAGAGCACTAAGTAAGTCAAATTTGCCTGTCTGTACTTTGTGAGGGTGGTCGGTGGCTCTTTAAAACTAGAACTGGTAATACTTGAGGCATTTGCAGCGTTTTGAAAAGAAAGTCTATGCCCAGAGTATCAAAGGTTCCCTTTGCTGTTGCTGAGGCATCATGCGCTTTTTCAGTGAGGGTCCCTGTGCTGGTAGAGAGCGCACCTAGAGATCCCATCTGAAGTGTTCTTACGGGAGTGCCATGAGCACCACTTACTGTGGTGGGCTGTGAGGTGCAGGTAGATGTCCTAAATTCTTTTTGCTTGCATGTGATCCTGATTTGCCTTTGCACCTCGCTCACTGATGATTATTTTATTTATCTCTTCGCATGTTGGGTTGAGTTTGCTCTACTAACCCTCATGGCTGGTAGTGCATCTGCTGCACATCAAACAGTCTTATGATGCGCAGCGTTTGCCAGTTGCTCATAAATAGTGAAACTATTGTTGTTTGATATTGCTATGAACTAGTTTCCTAGATGCTTTATTTTTTTAGATAGCTGAAAATAAAGTACATGCACTGGCAAATCAAGATTAGCATTTTAAGTAATGATGTCTGTGTATAACTTCTTCATTTATTTTAATAGTTAAAGAAAAACTAACTGCAGATCCTGATAGTGAGATTGCCACGACCAGCCTGCGGGTATCTCTGATGTGTCCTGTAAGTATGGCTGGAAATTACCTTGTACAGATTTGTCTCTTCATCTTTAGTGCAGAGTTGGCCGCTTTTAAAAAGTGCTTTTTAAGAAACTTCACTGGCTTTTATATACTGATTCATTAACATAAAATAGTGGAGAGAAGGGTGCATCTACAAGCACCTGACTGTAGCAGCATTCAACCAACTATGGTTTAGAACTGCAAACGCCTCAGTTGTAATGCAGTCAGAATCAAGTCGCTACTAGTGTATAGCGAGGCCTTTAGAAGGAGTAATCTTGTGTATCGAGGTGTTGAGACTAATTGGGCAGGGTGACAGAATAATTAAAGGATACAGTGATAAATAAAACTTTGGATCTCCTCATTTTGGTGGTATTGCTTATACTGCCAGCTGCTATAACAAACAAAAAAATTGATTGCTGTGTAACAAGGTAACGCTGCCTTGGGGTTTCTCTTCCCAGCTAGAAGCTGGCCTTGTGTTTGTGACTGCTCTGTTAAGCTAAATGTTAAAATGGGTATTACGCCATTCTGAGTCTAACATAACTGGAGCTCACAAAACCCCTTGAAATATTTGGCTAAAAGAAAATGATAAAAGCGGGTGCTTCAGTAGGTCTTTGAATAAAAATAAAATCCTAGCAATAACATTGATGTAGGTCCATTAGAAATGTTTCTGACTGTTTTCAACTCAGTGAAGACTTGGAGGATGGCTTTATTGCTCCTTTAAGTGCACTGCATGTGCTTTGATAGGGTGGCTTTGCCTGCAGCGACCTTAGCACTGGGCACCTCTGTAGTGAGAAGAGACAGTTACTTCACCGACTGCCTCCGATTTCATTGTTAGCCATCCAGGCCTATTTCACTGACTTCTGTTCTGATGCTCTTTAAATGCATCTCCTGCAGCTGGGAAAAATGAGACTGACAATCCCATGCCGGGCTGTTACTTGCACACACCTGCAATGTTTTGATGCTGCTCTTTATCTTCAAATGAATGAAAAGAAGCCTACCTGGATCTGCCCTGTCTGTGACAAAAAGGCAGCTTATGAGAGCCTAATATTAGATGGGTAAGAGACTGGGTTTGCAGATTACACAATTAGTTAACATTTTTGTGACTTATGGTTCAGCCATTTCATACTATTTTCTTTGCCGAAAGACTTTAGATTGGGAGGAACCATTAGACTCTTAGTTTCTGTTCCCATGTAATGAACTATGTAAGTTTATCTTCTAACTGCATCATCAAACTCTCAAGCCTCAGTATATTTCCTCTGGAGAAATCCAAATGTGACATCTAAGGATAGGTCTCCCTTTTACATGACCCTATCTCTGAAGCTATTAACGTTAAAATTTAACTCATAAAAAAGTGTCAAACTTGATTCAGAGGATGATAGATTTCCATACAGAAGCAGAAATTATGAATTGCAGTAATGTTGGAGTGGAATATGGGTAGGTTGGGATACTCTTTTAGGTTTCGATGTCTGCAAAGGCTGTAATTGCAGGCTTTCGGGTAAGATGAACTGGGGAGAGGGTACATGCAGTGAGTCAAAGGTGATCATAATTAGCTTTTCAACTGTGTCTCCTTTGCACTTAGGATGAAAAATTTCACTTGGAATCAAAAATGAAACCACTCAGCTTTATTTTTCAGGCTCTTTATGGAAATCCTTAATGAATGTTCAGATGTGGATGAGATCAAATTCCAAGAAGATGGCTCCTGGTGCCCCATGAGGCCAAAGAAAGAAGCTGTGAAAGTCTCAAGTCCACAGTGCACCAAAATAGAAAGTACGTACATCTGGGGTGCTGGTTGCAAACCAACAAAAAGTCTTGGAGACTTAGCTGTAGCTTGTATAATGTGTATGGATGTTGATGTCTGTGTTGTGGAGGGCTTAATACTTCTAACCTTCTTTCTTTTTACTTTAAATGACAAGGGTTGTATCTCTCAAATTGTGCCTTTTTTGGGGCTTTGTCTTTGCTCTTTATAATAGCAGTTAAGAAAATGAGAGGTTGCTCTTGTTTTAGGTCCTTAAATGGACAAGTGAAGATTAAAGCTTGTGCTTTAATATTCTCAATGTGATACAGAATAGTAATAAAACAGTTCCTGGGCTGTAACATTCTCTGTAGTGGCCAGGAAGATGAGCTAAAACAGGATTTGAGTTCCTGGTTCTGTTGCAGATAGAAACAGCTGATGTCAACAGCCTTTAAAAAACAGTAATATTTTATTTTCTTGTTTAGGTTCCAGTGTTGTTAGCAAACAGTGTTCTGTGACAGTGGCCAATGAGGTGAACAAGAAGAAAGTGGACGTTATTGACTTGACAATAGAAAGCTCTTCTGATGAAGAGGAAGATCCTCCTGCCAAAAGGAAGTGCATATTTATGTCTGAAACACAAGGAAGCCCAACCAAAGGGTTTGTCAATTTTAAAGTTAGTTGTTATTCTGTAATGTCTCAGATAAACTGATGTGTAGACAAATGGACTTGTAATCTCTCTCCGGGATCCAGCTGCACATTTCCAGAGGAGAATTTCTAGGCCTCTCCTTGCAGAAGGTTGTATCGATACAGTACCTTTGTACAGCCAAAACACTATTAAATAGTTTTACATCTCACAAAAGACTTGCGCTGACTGTTGCTGTGTTTGCAGGGCTATTTCTCCATAGAAAAGGAAGCTGATTAAGCTAATGGACAGGATTCTCCTGAGAAAGCAGATTATGCCAAGTGGAGGAGCTTTATTGCATTCTTGCTAAGTTAGTGTCATCTTAAAGGCTTTTCTTTCGCTGTCTGTTATACCCTTTATCTAATCTGCTCTGGTGCCCAGGAAACTAGGCTGCGTTGTGTGTTTCATCCATCCTGTCAGTCTTGGAAGGGAGGCTCTTTACTGTTTTGAGTCAAGACAAGCTTTTTCTCCATCTCTCTGTTAAACTCTGGAATGTCTTGGACACTGTTGTTGGCCATGGTTATCAGTCAGTCCTGCACCTTGGTTAGCACAACTGGTGACTTCCCAAGTCCTCTGTCAAGTGCTCCATCTTTGTAGTCATGCCTGACTTCAGCGGCAGGCTTAACCAGCTTCTTTACTGTTGTGCCGCCTTCTGTCTGTCCCAATCTACGCAACTCGGCTGCAGTTACTGTTCGTGGCTTCTGTAAAGTTCTTGCCCTTGGCCCGTAGGGCACAGGAGACCTGCAGGGAGAGAGGGGCACTGGTCAGGCTCACCAGCAGTCACCGCTCCGCGAGGCGATTCCAAGTGTCAGCTTTTAGTAATGGTTTATTAGTTAGTGTTGCTGCATGCATGAGGTGTGTGTCTGTGTGTCTCAGCGTAGTGGCTTATGTCTTGTACTAAAATAATAGTAATAAAAACAAACCCCTTCTGTTTTGCCAGCTCTTGAAGTAATGAGCAGCTGTACTGTGTCTCTGGTCCACAGGAATGTGTGGTCTTTGAGCAAATAGTTGGTCATCTTCAACAACTTTCAGCAGTGATTCTGAAATGCTGTTGCTTTTTGTGAGGATTGTGGAGGAGTCCTTCTGCAAGAGACTGTTTCTTATTTTTGTAAGAAAAAATAGCTACAAATACATCTCTTAATGAAGTTTCAGAAGGCACCAAGACTTCCTTCTGTGCTCCTGTGTGTGTCTGAGATGGCTACCTGCAACCATAATTGTAGGAGGACTGAGTTTTCTTGTCTGTCTGTGACCAATGTATTTTCCTTGCTGTTTGGGTATGGAAATGGCATGTTTTCATTCTTCAAATCCAAGTCAAAGCCAGGCTTTTGGGGAATAGCTTCTCTCCTGTAAACAGTGTTGCCTGAATGCTAGTTTTGGCAGAACTGTGGGGTGTCTTCCTACAGGCAGAAGCAACACAGGCTGAAGTATAAGAGGTGCTTGCGAGGGGAGGGTCTGAAATCCAAGCTTCTGAAATCAGGCGTAGCAGAAATGCACCGATGCAGCAGTCTGGGGAGGAAGACGTGAGTGGCTAACACTCGTGGCTGGTGGGCTGGAGGGAGTGATGCGGAGCAGCTGGGAGCGGGACTCTGGGTGTTTCCACCTGACTTGGAGTTTATGAAATATTTTATGCACGTGGCTGGTGCCTGAACGCCTGTGGTGATTAGCAGTGCTGCGATGTAATCGGGCAGAAGGTGGGGATGCAGAAGGGTTTCAACTGGTTGCAAGCTCCTGGAGAGCTGAACTTAGCTTGGGCTCAGGCTGTGAGTAAAGATGGGTTTGGTATTTAACTCCCATGTGTGTAATCTCAGAGGCTGAATAATGGTCAGTCATGCCTTCAGCGTGACAGGGTAGCACCGAGGAGTGGTGATGTGGAGACATTGAAATGAGTGTTCTTCTCCTGGCTCTGGCTACCTGCACATCCCTCCCAGGGTGCTCCACAGATAGAGATTTCCATTTCTGTCTCTGAACGGTAGACTGTTATAAATGACTCCAGCACTGTACTTTGTTTTAATGCCAACTTGCTCTTATGTCACAGCTGCTGTTGAGAGCCAAGATACGGTCATGTTATTATGAAGACTGTTATGAAAGAGGAAATTAGAGTGGAATACTGTGTAGTGAGTAGCCACGCTGTAGTTGTGTTGTTACATAGTGACCTTGTGAATGAGAGTGCACAGCGGTGTGTAATTTCTCTTCTGTAACTAACGGCCAGGTTGTTTGTAACTTCCCGTGCTGTTCAAAACAGGGTTCTCATGTATCAGCCATCTACTGTCAGAGTGCCCAGTGTGACAACGGTCGATGCTGCTGCTATTCCTCCTTCATTAACAGACTACCCAGTACCATTCCATCATCCACCAATATCCAGTATTTCATCAGACTTGCCAGGTAGGTGGTGGCTATTTTTAATGTGTATTCTGACAGCTTTATTAATTTGTGGGGTGGGTAAAAAATTGGAGAATTGATCAACTTTTTTTTTTTTAATGGAACAAGACTATATGCAGTATTCCACTGATGCGATGCCTAGACAAGTCCAGTACAGGCTGTCTTTCCAGTTTCAGGTTGCACTTCGCAACAGCGATGTGAAAAATGTTGCTTCTGGGGTACAAATTGGCACTTTGGAACGGCAGCCAGAAACACTTCTCGCTATATTCAGTTAGACTCTGTGTTAATATCCAGTTGTTATGTGTTGTAGATGCGAGGGAGAGTAGCTGCTTATTTAAGTTATAGAGGTGTGATGGCGCCGACTCATCCCAACCCTAGAAGTAGAGATATTCTGCTAGCTGATTCTAGTGGTGCTCTGTCTAGACTGTATGAAAAAGGTTAAGGTGAGCTACAATATGTAAGCTGAACTCTATTGACTTTCTTTACCTAGACATACCCTAAATGCCTATGATGTATTCTTCAACACTGCTGCTAAATATCAGACAAAAGGTGGGGATACTGATTGTTTTCTATCCTGGCTCCTTGAAAAGAACACTGTATATAGGGACTCTGGGGGTTCTCTTTGCCGGCTGTAACGAACCCAGAGCCCAGGAAATGGTGACTCATGGTGACAGGTGTCCCATTGGCCTCCTGTACTTCCCTCTCCCCGCTCCATTGCCTGTCTCCATTTCTCCCCTGCAACATCTCTGGGTTTTTTCCTCTTCTTTCAGCACCAGTTTGGCAATGGGATGGATATCATTCCCCTTGTTTCTCTGTCCATTTTGGTTCCTTTACTGCTCCCTCCCTCCACTTCTCCCTTGTTAAGAAATCGGTTGCCTTCCCAAATTGGATAGGAGAGTACGCTGAGAGAATGGAAGTCTAGAACTGTTGTCTGTCTTTTATCAGCTGAAGTTCTAGAAGGTGCAAGAACAAAAGCAGCTGTCAATTCTGTAAAAGCAGTTGAGCTTAAATCTCCTTCAAAATTTTTCTCTAATTGAGAAGAGAAGGAGAGATGCCACTGGCCAGAACAGATTTGGAGGTGAGGGGAGAGGGAGGGAGTAAGTTTTCCATTTCTTTCTGTTGACATAGCAAACACAAGGCCAATATTTAGAAACAAAACAAAAAAGGCTGTAATTTCTCATTGGTTTCATAATTTTTAAACATCTTGCCCTAAATGCTTACACGCTAATGGTGTATAAGACGGACGCTAGTTGTCACTGCTCTTAGAGGATATACCTTGAACTACTTGTAGTTTCCTCTTCTTCGTTCCTTTTATTTGTCTAGACACAAAACGGGGATGATATTAGAAATGTTTCCTTATTGGCTGCCCGTGGGTGGAGGAAGAGACCTGCTGCTTGTTTTTGGACTTGTGCATGTTGTGACTTTACTTCATTCCAGCATCTTTAATGTGATGACACTCTTCATGTCCCAGTTTGGCCAAGTCAGGTACAATATGCAGTGAAACTTGCATTATGAACCAACAGCTCCAAATGGCAACCTCCATCTAAGCAACCACATTGAACCACCCTGCAATATCCAGTGAATAATACATCATTATGTCATTCTCATTCTTAAAAAGAGCCACTTGTACGAGATAACTCGTTTTGCTGCTGCCTGAAGTAGTCGTTGAGAGTGGTGTCACAGTGGTATATTCCATTTAGAAACTGTGTAACAATTGCAAAATCTGTTCTACGACCACAAAAAAGTTCCTTAAATTTGTTGTGTATGAATAAAAGAAAGACACATCAATTTATTATCCTTCTCTTCTTTCTAGGTCTGGATTTTCTTTCACTAATCCCAGTTGATTCACAGGTATGTTTCTGAACTACTATGGGGTTAATTTCCAAGTCTGGTTTTTGTGACGTACTGCTCGAATAATTACCAGGACACTGTCATCATCCATACCATGTTCGCAGTCCACTCGCTTAGACCTTACCACAGACCAGGAAAATCCATTTTCCCCAACAAGAGGTGGTAATGAAGATGCATTAAGGGAGGATTTGGTTTAGCCTCACTAGGATAAATCCATGCATGGAAACTCACTCTTTAGTGATAGCTTGCCTTTCTAAAGTGGATACTTGCACGGCACTAATGTGAATACACCCCCCGTGTACTTCACCCTCTTAGTTCATACTGTGTATCTGTAGGCCAGATTAAGCTCTGTAAATATACGTCACTGGTGGTTGTTTCTGTTGGTTTTGATGTTAGTAGGAGGTTAAGTTTTAAAGAAAATATCTTCCTTAATTTGATGGGCACATGACTGAACGCTTTTATGATAAATCCTTCCATGTAACACCTAAACCCCGCTGGCTTTGGATTATATGGATATTTTGTAGGTCAAAAGTAACTAGGCGGTGCTTTTCCTTCCCTGGAAACTTAAAACTTTACAAGTTAGGGAGAGTGATTCTTACCGTAACTAGATTTACACAGACAGACTACAGCCTTGAAATGTGGGGGAATATCGGCTCCCTAACTAAGACAAGAGGATCTGAAGCAGACCCTCTGTTTCATCTCTCTGTCTCTAGAAGACAACAGTAATAGGACTCTACTGCAGAGTTGACTTTCTGGTGCCTTAAAAACAAAGGATGAACTTCCTCCTTTTCTTTCCACTTACTGCATCTTGCAATACTCTGTGCCTGACCTTGAGATCTGAACTGCCGAAAGTGGGAATAACAGAAGTTTGTTCATGTGGGAGACTGGAAGCAGGTATGCTGCTATGAAGTGTCCACTTTGGACAGTTCAAACAGTTCAGGCTCAGTTCCAAACATATGTCTGAGATTGGAATCCACGGGGTAAGAGAAAGTAAGGTGTGTTGAACAACGTGTGTGCGTGCGTGTGCGTGGGTGTCTTACATTATCTTCCTCTGACACCTGGAAACCTTGTTCTGTTTCTAAATGCTTAGAGTGTTCAGCTCTGCTTTGAGAAGGCTTGTCTTCCACTTCAGGAAATTTAAATCAACGTAGTAATTTTTCTTAATCAGACTTGATCAGGGCTCATTTATCACTACTAAAATGTTTAGAGACCTGCATGTATCATTGCAGGTATATACTATGAACATGTTGATTAGTACAGCTGCTGGCATTTAAGAGGATGAAATTATTCTAACCTCCATCGAAGTAGCAAAAAGCATTCTGCTACCTTTCATGATGAAAGGAGCCCAAAATACACAGTTGTGCCCAGTAGCTGTGGGCAGTGAACATTCTCCAAATGCTAAGGTTTTTTTTGTTTGTGGGTTTTGTTGGTTTTTTTGTGGTCATCACGTGGACATGATAGTGTTTCTTAATGTGCTAGTAAATGCTCAAGCTAACCAGTTAGGAGAAAAAAAAAAGGGGGGGGGGAGGGAGAGGATGAGGGAGAAGGGCTCGTGGCTACCATCTCTGCTTGCTTACTTGCTGGCGTGCAGAACTCCAGTTCTTGCTATGCATGCGATAACGAAGTTCTGCTAGTAATGTGTTTTGTGCTTGTTGTAGGGAAGATGTATCTTCAGAGCATACATTTCCCTTGTGCAGTTAGTCTCTTCATTCTTCATTGTTTGTTTCAAGCAGTACTGTCCTCCTATGTTTTTGGATAGTCTCACCTCAACCTTAACAAGCAGCACGCCTGGCAGCATCATCACATCAACCAGTCACCACGAGAGCAGCACGCACGTTAGCTCCTCCAGCAGGAGCGAGACAGGGGTGATAACCAGCAGCGGCGGCAGCGCTCCTGACATCATCTCACTGGACTGAAACAAGGGGCAGCACCGGACTCCAGGAGAAACTGCACGGAGCTGCTGCTTGTATCTCTGGAACTTCAGCATCTCGGAAGTTATTCTGATATTTATTGAAAGGATTTCCCTTCTGGAAAATGGAGTAAATTCATCTACACTAGGAACAGAAGTGATAGACTTTTTTGTTTTGTTTTGTTTTTTTTCCTTGCTCATTAAATAGCTGGTATAGAAAAGGCCCCTTCAGAACATGCTTTTATGCTTTTGGCTTGTTCTGGGGAAACTGACATTTTGTTGCTGGGTGGATTCCACAAATGGTTTTTAATTTTGTTGTAAAACACAGCAATAATGTAAAAACAAACAAAAACTTTTTTTAATAAAAAAAGGCACTTAACCACTCTAGAACAACAGCCTGGGCAAAGGTGCAGAAGTGTATGCATTGGTGAATTTTTAATATTTTCACTGGGGCCTGTAATAAACTTCATTTAAGACAATGAAGCTTTGTGAAATAGCCATGACTTGTGTTGTATGTCTCTTGTTTCCCACTTCCCCCTTACCTGGGGATGTAGGGGAAGCCTCTGTAAATGGGATTGGTTGGGGGTTTTTTTGTTTGTGGTTTTTTTCCTCCTGATTTTGTGTTTTTCACAAATGCAACAAAAACCTAAGCTTTGACTTCTTCCTCTTAATGTTCTTTGGGCTGGGGAGGGGACAAACTATCTATGCAAACTCTGCATTACACAATCTCTGTGCCGTCATGTCAGAATGGGGCCACCTCCCCACCTCCAAAAACTCCAGACTATGCACAGTTGAGCTGTAGCTGAATTTCTGGTTTGATAACTTTAAGAGATGATAGAAAAAAAAGCCTTTAAACTCAGATTATAAGGTGGTTGTTGGCCCTCTGAAATTACCACCCCTGACCAGTTGATCAAGTGAAGTGTGTGCTTTCTATGGCAGCTGTAAGGAGAAAAATAGGAATTACTTTCTCCAGTGCAGGATAATTTTCTAGGATCTCTTGCTTGTGGCTTCTGTCACTTCAGTAACTGCCATGTTCTTTTGGGAATACCCCACTCTGACATGCCATGGGGGAAGGTTGGCTTTTTGGAAGACAAAAGCTGTAGCTGCACAGTGTTCCCACCTAACTGGAATTACGTGTTTAGGGCTTAATGATGCTTTGTCCCACATTACATGGCCTCCTAATCATGGCTTTCCTAATTCAATGGGAATAACTTCCTCATGTTTTACTCCCCTGGTCAATCTGCTGCTTTGCTGTGTGGATGCAGTGTCTCCCCACACACCTCTAAGGATAATCTCCACAGTACGGTATGTGGAAGAGGTTACAGACAAGGAAAATCAAGTCATTTCCATAGAGCTGGAATAATGGTATTGTCTATGTTGACACAGCAGCTTTCCCCAGTGTTGTGTTTCTGTTGAGTAACTGTATTTGAGATTATTCCTTCCCTAATTACCAGCTTTCACTTTTTCCTGATTTTGTGTTCCTTTTTTCTTATTTCTTTAGTCAGATGTCTTGTACTTTTTGCCTTCCACTACTGTTAACAGTATTTGAACGAAGTACAAATGGATAAGAAATACTGAAGCAGGATGTATTGTAACTCTTGCCTGCCCTGTACTCCCACTTTTAATGCAGCATTACTATTCCCCATTGCCTTTTCTTGTATGACCTTTCACACCAATCTTCAATTCACATGTTGGTCTTAATATCGCATCCACTCTTTCTTCTTTCCTTATCTGTTGAATTTTTTGTACCTGTTAAGGCTCAGTTTTTAGCATGATTTATTTCCAATAAAGCCATGCTACTCATGAAGTTTTTTCCTAATGGCCTGCAGCAGATCGGTGCTTTCTGCATCAGAGTTGCACAGTGACTTGAACTATAAATAGAGTGTGGAGAGAGGTTCCAGAGTCATTCTGAATAAAGTGTTTAAAACTGGTATCTGTTGCTGAAGATGGTATTTGTACTCTTAATGCCAAACTGAAGCGTGACTTGGGCAATTGCTGAACTGGCTGAAGGGATGTAAACATCCTGCATGTACATCAGAAAAGTTAAGGAAGGGTGAGTGCCGTTTTTAGGACATGCTCTAAACCATTCATGGTATTACAAAATAGGGCTGGAATTTTGTGAAGCTAATTATTGTGCCTTGTTTGGTAGTTACTTATCAGAGCTGAGGTCAGGTTGTGTTCTCTAGCTGTTTTGGGCAGGAGTTTTGCAGCTGTATTTAGCTTTAAACCTTCAAGACCCATGAGAGCGATGTCAAATGCAAATAAGGCATTTGAGCCTTATCTGTTTAGGAGAGAGTTAGATTGTCATAGGCTGTGGTGTGAGGTAAGCCTTCAGGTGAAGGATGTAGCTTTCCTGCAATGCTGATGTACGTGCAGGAGGTAATTACACCAGCCTAGTAATGCCTAAATCCTGTAATTCACTTGAGTCTGTGGATGCTGTGTATCAAGGGGTTGGAGTTCTGCAGTGCAGTCATCACCCGTTTGATACACCACCTCCCACAAGATGACAAAGGATTTCCTTAAGCAGTGGAGAGGGGACTGGGGATTGTAACTTAATTGAGGCCTGTACCACTGTAGCCCTGCTCTAAGGAAACCTGCCCATTGTAGCTAGATGAGGTTTTGGTTTATTTTTCCTTCAACGAGTTCTAAAATGCATCAGAATGTCTGTCCAAGAACTTGTAACATGAGAAAAATCTTGAAGAAAAGGTGAGATAACTTCTTACCTCTTTGTTTCCACTATGGAAGTATCTGGTTACTGCTTTGAGTGGACTATATCAAAGATACCTTCAAACCAACTGCAGAAGGAAAGTAAAGTTTATGAGTCCCTCTACTGCACAGATAACCAGCATGCAATGAAAGCCATGCTGCAAGAGCCGGCCCCCTTTTTTTCCCCCCACCCATCCATTTGCTGCATCTTTTTCTGCAGTTCCTGGAAGTGAGCTAGCTGCTGAAGTACTAGCTACAGAAAGGCTATACCTATACACCTGAAGACCATTAGCCTGAGCTGGCTTCTGATTTTCATACTTCCAGGTCAGATAAAGCTGTCTGAAACAATTGCGAGCTGTGCAGGCAGGACTTTGCTGCCCAGTGGTACAGCACCAGCCCCAGGAGGTTCTGCACCTGCCCAGCAGCAAGAATTCAGGCATTTCAACATTAGTGGGGATGTTCTATGTCTGCCTTTAAATCTAGGTGCTGGATGCTAGAAAGCTTACCTGTGACTGCAAGCCTTTCACTATCAGTCTTCAACAGCAAAGAAGGTTCAAGCTTGGAAATGAAAGAATACATCTTCTGGCTGAGAGGACAAAACCTGACAGTTCAACAAGAATTTCTGCAAGAGCAACAATGAAGGGAGCTGCTTCCTAGGTTAAAAGACAATTGTGGATTAGGCAAACTGCAAAGAACACCATTAGTCCTAGGCAAGTGATTTTTTTTTTTTTAATGGGTGTTTTTGACACAGGCATCCGTGACCACAGACAAGATACAGGCAACAACAATCCCGTAAGTCAAATTACCGCGTCATTTTTATTTCTTTTTTTAGTAGGTGATCATGCCATCATCACAACATGTTAACACTGTGTGTGTATTTAATGTGACACTCTAAAAACTTTCCATTTCCTTCCTAGTTTTGTGAGGAAACGGTATCAGGACAAAACTGGGCAGCACATCACACAACATGAAACAGAAGTGATTATAACTTATCTAGGAAGTTATCCAGAGGTGGAATACCCTCCTTCAAGCCTTTGCGTTTATGTGTTTCAGCCACAACTTGCCAAGGACGAGAATTTGCATCATAAGGATCTCCAGGCAAAACCTGCCAGTGATCAAAGACACACTGTGGAAATGCTTGGCCACCAGTGTTGGATCTCAAGTCAGCGGTAAAACCTAGTGGGAAGGAAAAAATAAAAATTAAAAAGGGATGAGCCAGCTACAGGAAAAATTAAAACTGGCTTACAGTGAATTTCTGCATAGACAAAACCCTCAACACTTTCAGACACAGAGTACAGTACTGTTAGGAAACTGCTACTTCACAAGCAGTTCTTTCAAGCAGGTAAAAATGAGGCCAACTCCAAAGAATTGCAGAAAGATCTTCTGTGACCAAGTAAACTGGCAATAAAATGGCAAACAAAATTCAATTTAGATAGAAAAGGACATGGGGAAAATTATGTTTCACGTGTCTCCAGAACTGAACTTATCACTACCACTCAGTTTGAGATCTTGGGGTTATGGTAAGTAGTACAGAAGCATTAGTTCAGTGTTCAGAAGCAGTTAAAATGAGAGATCAAGTGCTAGTACCTGTTAGGAAAGGAACAGAAAACAAAACGTCATGTCCAGTGAAAGCCTGCACGCTTATTGTAAAGTTGTGCAGTTGTGGTTCCTTTATTATAAAAGCCATTACTGCAGAGAAGGTTCAGAGACGGGGAATATAGATGCCCAAAGCCCTCACCTGGCTTCCACACACAGAAACACGCTTGGCAAGCTAGGGCTCTTCAGTGTGACCAGAGCAGCAATGTAGTAGGGAGGATATAGAGGGCTAAAAATTAAGTGACATGGACACAGCAGATAAAGATCAAAATGAGCTCATGCTCCTTTTGACACAAAGGAAGCATCAGTTGAAGCTAGCAGGAGCCAGGTTCAGGAGACACAAAAGGAGGCAGTTCTTCACACATGTAGGTCAGTGGACATCCTTGCTTGTGCTGTGGATGCTGATGTTTTACAGTGAGGGGGAGACTAGGTAAATTCATAAAGAAAGCCCTTGAGGGTTACTAAATTGATCTAGAAACCACTTCTGCCCCAGGAAGCCTCTAGAAGTGGTTATAAAAAAGCAACTGGAGAATTACACCAGCTTACCGTTTTCTTTCTCTTCCCTAAGTGCTTGCTTTCAGTCACTGTCATGAACAAGATGCTGGGCTAATGCATCATTTAGTCTGACAGTACAGGAACTTTACATTTAACTCAAGATACATAGGTGCTTCCTTTGCCATTTCCTCATCTTCATAGCAGTGTCATCCCCTTCTCCCAAGCATTCAGTCCTGTGAAGAGCTGCTGCCTGTGAACTGAGACTTTGCTGCTGTAGAACAGCTTCTAACCACTAGTTTATAGGAATACTGGTATTTCCCCACCTCTTTAGATTGCTGTTTTAGCAAGATTCAACAGCAGCTTTGGCAAGGAACTAGAAAGGCAGTTTTGCAGAATACGGATGTTAACATTCTATGTAAATTGAGACTGAGAGCCCAGTGTAATGTGCGTCCTGCCAAGTCTAAGTTTACACTTCTTTTTGTTTTTCCGTGTTTGGAAAATTGTTTATGAAATTGTTTTAAGCTCCATGGAAACTTGGAGAAGGGAAAAAACCCCCAAAATACCACACAAACACATGTGTAAATTGTTCTTTTAAGAAGTTAAATTGCCAGTTTAGACTTGAAAAGTTAAGCATCTCTTATTTCATCACTGATTATTTTAGCAGTTACCACACTAATGTACTTTGGCAAAGAAGCCCCCTCCAAAATAAAACATGACATTTCATACAGTTTTACTGTGTGAGGCATTCCAAATGTGCCCCATGAAACTGGTAAACTTTATGTCACAATGTCACAGGATACTCTTGAAGTGCATTTTTAAACAGGGAGGAGGGAAACGGGACACACCAACAAACCACAATACCAGAGGAAAGGCTCTGTACCACACTGAAAAATTGAAGTTTCAGGGGCAGCATAAGAAGGATCAGATTATTATTTTAAAGGTAGTCTTCAGATTGGCAAGAGGGTGTAATGCCATTTAAGCTACTCAGGCTGGCACTCTGTCCTTCTTTTAAAGATTCAAATAAGTATCAAATTTTCTCTTCCAGGCTTGCTTCAAAGGAAGACCTTGATTTAAAATGATGGAAACTGAATCTGGTTTACACTAAAAAGTCTTAATGTGCAGAAGCTGCCACATCTTTTTGGCATGAAAGCCCAAGCTTTCATGGAGCAGGCTGCTGGGGGGGAAGAGTAAACTGTTGTGAACTGAAGATGCAAAGGGACAACAGGAAGAAGCTTGGAGCTAATAAAATGGGAATTTGTAAGTCTCTGATCCTGCAGAGGTCTGTCTTTAAATGCATGTGGGTAACAAAGGAAGCATCATCTTACCAAATGACTCATTTACAGGTAGATAAGCCTTGACCACAAACATTGGAGTTCCTGCCACTTGGGATTCTTCAAAAACGTGTCCCCTTTTCCTGTTCAGCACACCATAGATCCCACCAACCACTTGTTCTGGGCACTATAAAAAAAAATTTCTATCAAGTTACATAAAAGGAGGAGATCACCAGTTATTAAAACAGCCAGGCAGCATTAGACAATCCCTCTAGACAGCTCTCCTGATGTTTTTTCTCATGATGGCTCCTCACTCAGTACAATTTCTCTCATGTGTAACAAGTGGCTTCACTCTCATTTCCAAGACATCTTTCAGAAGCTCTGCCTGCCTTCTCTGCCTCGCATGACTGTGAGGTTTCCAATTACTGTATATATTGACTGTACCGGATTGTAGTTTACATACACAAAGTGAAGCAAAAGTGCTTATGCTCAGTGAATTACCTTCAGCAATCTTTGGGCACAAGAAAGCAGAGTCCTCTAGTGCTTTATAATAAATGTATTTAC